GAAAGGAAGAAAGGAAGAAACCCTAATCCTGACCTGGGGACAAATCCCAATAAAGATCCAAGTTAATTTCTCCTGCTGATCGAACCTCCGAATTTTGATCTTTTATAGGCCTGGGTGTGATGCACGCTGGGTGTTCACCCTGCAGGGGGCTGAGTGTGTGCGTCTGGACTTCAGAGGTGCGGCTCTGTCCTGCCAGGTTGCGCTGTTTCCACACCAGCGGGGGTGATCTGTCTGGTCAGAGTGAGGCCCAGCCTGCCTGGGGTGGAGCAGACAAGCTTGCTGTCGAGCTACAGGGGCAAACCAACGGGCAGCAGTTGGGCGAGGGTCTTCCGGCTGGGGTGGGGGTGGGGTCTCCCAGAAAGAGCAGGGGTGGTGGGGGTCGGCGGGGCCACTCAACAAAAGGTCTCAGTAAAGACTGGCAAGTTGGGAGACTGGACGGAAGTCAGCAAATTCAGGGCTGAATTGAGATTCTTGTGACCTGAGTCGCTTTTCTCTTTGAGGAACCCCTTCCCCTATAAAAATCAGTCAGTAGATGGGTGATGATATTTTACGACTGCAGTGGTGTAAGGACGAATCTATCCCTGCTGGGTTCATTGTTGTATCGGCATTAATAGTATTATTTCTTCTGATTTTAAAAGAAATTGCAATGTGTTCGGGGGCCCCTGAACGTCTCACGGGTCCCAGACACTGCCCCCTGTGCCCAGTGGGCGTGTTGGTCTCAGGTAGGTTCCGAGAAACGGGACCTGGTGGTTTGGTGTCCTGACAGCTACGTGGCTTGTTTTGTAGACGTCGCTTCCCTCTAATCTTGGACCCATTCAGAAGGTCCAAGGATCCCCTCAAACTGCAATCTTTACTTTGACCAAAGAGGGGGCTCTTGCTTACGTAGCGTTGAAATCCCGTGTTTTGGCCCGTTTGTTTTCCAGCCCTGGGCTTCTCCTGCCGCACGTGACCCTGTGTTGTCGGCATGGCTCACAGTATAGGTGGGGTCCCTTTCTGGGACTGGACGTGTGCCAGGCGAATGTCTTCGCCGGGCCTCACCAGCTGGGCCTTTAGTTCCTCTATGCAAGGTATCCAGGAGGACCAGCCCCTTCCATCTCGGTTGGAGGTGGTTGGACCACGATCCACTAGGGGGTGTTTGGCTCAAGGCATCCCTGAGATGTCAGGAAAGAATGTGTCAGGGTGGGGGGTGTGGGAGGGAGGGAGGGACCTTGGGGGGACAGGCTGTGGGTAGCCAGTGGCAGTCTCTGGCCTCCCTCAGAGGTCTGACGTGGGGCGTGGCATGCTGCTGTTGGCCTGCTTCCGAGGGAGTGCCATCTGCTCCCTGTCCCGATGTCGTCCGCACTGAGGATGCAAAGGCAGCGGGGAGGTGTGTGCAGCCTCGGCAGGGCTCCGCCTGGCAGACGTTGAAGCCCGTGTGCGGTGGGCAGAGAGAGGAAGCATCCAGGTCCACCCAGGCTCCCGAGATGCCCTGCGTCTTGCCTGCTGACGAGAAAAGCAAAGGGGAAGAGGACCCTTGCTCGTGTTAGGGACCAGAGCAGAAACAAACCACTCTGTTTGAAACGGCGGTTCCTAGAAATGTATTCTGGGTTAGAGGTTGGATTGCCTAGAACTGGATTATAGAAGAGAGGGCAGGGGGCAGCTGTCTCCTGGGATATGAGCAATGCCTCTCTCACCCATCCAGCGCCCCAGAAGTCAGCTGGGCAGGTCCAGAAACCAACTGGAGAAGAGCTGGTTTCCAGCCCAGGACGGGGAAGTGCTAGTGGAAGAACGGGGTGGGGTCAGCTCCCCTGAGGTTTGCGGGGAGGGGGCACAAGGAAGTATTTGAGGGGGTCCCTTCTGAGCGCTGGCTTCTCAGAATGTGTTGTGTGGACCCCCAGCATTGGGTTCACCCCGGAACTTGTTAGGAATGCAGAATCTCAGCCTGCCACCTCAGACCTACTGAATCTGAATTTTAAACAAGATCTCCAGATGGTCTTCAAACGCGGCTGCCTGTTAGACTTTCCCTGGGAATGAAAAAAAAAATTTTTTTTTAACCCAGTGCCCAGACCTCAGTCAGAACCAATCAGAATCACTAGGGGTGGGACCCAGGATTCAGTGTGGTTTTTCCAGCTGCCAGGCGGAGGGGGAATGGTGGCTTCAGTCAGTAGCCAAGTCTGGGAACCACGGCTATAAGAACCCTCTTTCCCCTCCTCGTCTCATCCCCCACCATGGGGTTTAAGGAAGACCCCCCCGCAGTGGTCCACTACCTCCCTCCCGTAAGTCTGCTACTAAATTGGCAGGATTAAGAGGCCATGGTGAGTTTAGATTTACTGTGTTAACTTTCATGTCTCCCCTGGAAGAGTGGTTGGAATCAGTTCCATCCACCCAGGCTTTAGCGTGAATGAGTTTATCAGATGCCTTCCACCTAACAAGCTGATCATGGGCTGGGCGCAGGGGTAGTGAGACACAGAGGGAGCCTTCTTTAAATCCTCTGGCGGTGGCTTTGCATGAAGTAGTAACAGGAACAGGAATCCATCCTGGATGCTGGAGTGGGAGTTGCAGAGTGTCTTGCTGATCTTCTTGCCTTTTTCCTTTTTTTGGATGAGTTTTCTAGCATCTGCAAGTTGTCTAGTTAGGTCCCAAGAGTTGCAGGGTTCATTGGTGCTACCAGGTTCTTTGCTCCGTGGTCAAGAGCCCTATATTGCATTTGAGGTTGGTCCTGAGATGAGTTCATGGGTGTGGGAGAGGCAGCTGGCCCAGCCAACATGTGTCCCCAGGAACGGGGGAGGTGGCGCTGGAGCGCACGGGGACCCTGATCCGGCGGCGGGCTTGGGTTGATGGCGTTGGCTGCAGACGGCCAACCCGGCCCCGTCCTCGGAAACCCTAGAAACCCAGGGAGTGATCCAAGCCCCAAGATGCTGTGTGCGCATCCAGTGAAAGAACAAAACGCCACCCAAACAATCCTTTCTCTTGTGAATGAAGGTTACAGGTTTTCTGTTTCAAATCTGATGGTCTTGTTTTCCCCCTTTTTTCTTCTCTTCTCTCTGTTTCTATCTGCCAGCCTAAGGGTCCAGAGTGATTTCTTTGGGTCTAATGATGGAGAATCTTAGAATGGGGCTATTATCTTTCAACACCTTTTGAAATACTACTCTTCCTGGTGTCTGAATTAGGTTGAACAGAGGTCGGATTTAAGGATTAAACGACTATTTTAGCAGCAACAGCAACTATGCTGATGACTGTGAAGGCTCGCTTGGAAATTATATGGATGGTACAGAGTAGCCTTGCTCTCTAGAAACCCTCAAAGGAGTAAAATTTAATAAAAGCATAGCTAACATTTATTGGATGCACGGGACGGGCTGAGCACAGAGCTAGGTGTTCCTCCTGTGTTGTCCCATTTAATGAATTCAAACGTACCATAAGGTCAGAAAATGTAAGCATTCAGAAGTAATGTCGTAGGAATCTTTGAGTAAAAGGCTCTGTAAGTGTGGCAATAGATTAATTTCATAGTAAAGGTCCATTGTGAATTTAAATTTGGTTCTAACCCGTAAAAAAAAAAAATTACTATCCCAGTGTAATACCCATTCCTGTCAGTTTATTCGAGGTCTAGTTTATTACAGTGATAATCTATGTTTGTTTGAAAAATATTCTTCAGTTGAGCATGCACACGACTGACAGGAAATGGATTTCCCCCTTTATTCTGAATTAATGTAGTTTTATTCTATATTGAAAAATAAGCAACTATTACACTCTGTGTCCTTGGGAGGCTGTCGGACATCCCGAGACCACTCCCTCTACATTTTAAGCTTGAAGATGAGTTTCGTTATCCTGTTTCCTGATGTAACTCTCCCCTTCTTTTTTTAGGTGAAATCAGAGGTTTGTGGCTGCCCTGGGGAGGTGCTTCGAGCCAAGAAAGAAGGACAGGACAAAAGGTGAGCCGTACGCGGTAATCAGAGCACAGCCACGCCCCTGCTGGTTCTGGCGCTGGGGGTTCTACTTCTGCGGCGCACCTGTTTGCCCCGCTATCCCCACGCACCTGCACGCCAGCCCCGAGTGGTGATTGGCAGACAGGAGCCTCGCAGTTGGCCATTAGAGAAGGTGCAGAGACGCAGGGTGATAAATACTAACAGTCATCATGATCGATTCAGGCCGGGCCATGCTCTCAGCAGCTTTTAGTTAGGTGAACTCATTACCACCTCTCACAGTCCAAGCCGATCAGTCGTGTAATACCCAGCCTTCAGAGGAGGAAACCAGGGTGCAGCCATTCGCCCAGGGCGACACAGTTCATTAGCGAGGGAGCCAGGATCTAAAGCCAGAGCTGGCACCCAGCACTGTGATTTCTTTCCGACCTGGAGTGACAATGGCTTGTCCTGGTTGTCTGGCACACCGGGCATCAGCGCACCTGCTACCTGCTCTTTATGCACGTGGGTCTGAGGCCGGGCACAGAGGTCTTGCATGTCGCAGGGAGAGCCATCAGGTAGGTGACTCAAAGCCCGCAGGTCCAGGAGACAAAGGGTAGATGGGTAACACCTGCTGCCCTGCAGGAGCGCAGAGACTGAGCGCAGGGCTAAGGGCGATCTCAGGGCTTCCTGCCGTGCTGCCCCTGCAGTCCGGCCCCAGTAAAGCAGGGCTTTGGAACTGGAAGATGATGGTGCCAATCTGCCACTATTGGTCCAGCCTCAGGGTAAACAGCACGGACCCAGAGGTCCTGCGTTCAGATCCTACCTTCACTGTTTCCTCACTTTGTGGCCCGAGGCTGGTGACCTTCAGGTCTCTAAACCTCAGTTTCCACATCTGTAAAATGGGAATAGTGAAGACTGTCCCTGCCAAGCTGTGACCTGAAATGAGAGAACACGCAGATAGCATCCTGCCTGGACATACTGAGCAGAGAATCGATGCCAGTGCCGTTGTTGTTCTCCTGTTAGCTCTGGACACGATCTTGGGTAAATTACCAAGCCTCAGTTTCTTCATCTGTTAGATGGGGATGCTAATGCCCTGTCCTCAGAGGAGGATGTGGGTTAAATGAAAGAACACAAATAAACGTCTGGATCACGATGGGTGCCCCATCTGTTAGTTCTCCTGCTCACTTACCATTATGCACGTGGATGCATCGGAAGGAAGAAGCGAGTGACGCTAGCCCCTCCCTCCACTGGAATCCTGAGTCCCGACAATGACCCTACAGAGATTTTCCAATTCGATCCTTCTCTTCTCTTTTCCCAGCCACCCCTCCGCTCTGGACTTTGGCAGCCCAAGCTGGGATACCCCCCAGGGGCTCCAACCTTTGGAATTCCAGTCTTTCTTTCCCAGAGTAACTCTACGTGTGTTTTTCCTGAGTCTCTCTCCCAGACCCAGTATTTATCATGTCATAAAGCCTTCCATGGCTCTACGGGCCATCTCAGAAACCAGACCTCACTGAGCACGCGGCCTCATCACCTGCCACTTGCACTCGAATTTGAAGCCTTGCAGTCAAGCTCGCTTGCTTTGGAATCTACCCCGACCCCAGACTGGGATATTTCTTCCGGAACCTTACGTGCAGCCTTGCTTTTCTCCCCAGCAGGTGCCTTGGGAGCAGGTGGGAGTGGGGGCAGCGCTCGTTCTCCGTTACTTGGGTGTTTTGTTTACCCGCTCCCTTTGACGCTGCTCATTCGAGGACCTGCGTAGACAGGCGCTGGGGTGATGGTGTGGATGACCTGGGGGGAAGAAGATGGGCCCAGAAAGGAGAGTCATTTGCCTGCATTATTCTTGCGCTGCTGTCTGGGTTTGGGTGACTGGCAGGCTGTGTGCGTGGGCGGGGCTGGAGGGAAGGTTAATCAGTGACGCCGAGGGGATTTCCAGGTGAATCCTGGGCACTGCCTTTCTAATAACAGCACCATCTGCCTTAGCCAGCCCTGTCCCTTCCCTCTTTGGGGGACCCTCTGACTGAATGCCGGTTCATTCCATCAGGCCCTTTACCCTCATCGGGGTGGCAGTGATGCCCTCATTCATCCTCTCATTCATTCATTCATGTAAGAGATCGTCATTGGGTGCCGACTATGTGGCAGGACGGTTCTAGGCAGGGAACGCCATCCTGCTCTCATGGAGATGCCTTCCAGTGGGGCGAGGGTGGATGGTAAGCAGCAAAAATGGTAACTAAATTATCTAGTACATAAGAAGGTGATAGCACTGTGCGGGGGAGGGGGGAGAAGTAGAAATGGGATCAGGAAAGGCCGTTCAAGTGTTCGGGGCAGGGAGGGGTGGGCGTGTCACAGCGTAGAATAGGGCGGGTACCTCGTTGAGAAGGTGACATCCAAGCACAGGCTTTGAGGAGGTGAGCGAGGAAGAGATCTCCACAGGGAGCAGCCCCATCTAGGCCAAGGCAGGGTTACCCTGGGGTCTTGGAGGACAGGCTGGAGCCAGTGAGGGAGCTGGGTGCCGCGGGATGAGGCCCAGAGCTGGGAGGGCTCGGAGAGCATCAGGCTTTCCCTCCGAGGGCACTGGGAGCCAAGACAGGGTTTTGGCGAGGTGTGCTGGGAGCCCGCTGACTCAGGGCTGGTGTGGAAGCCTAGAGGAGCAGGGCAGCTGAGGGAGGAGGTGGCAACCCAAGGGGCGCTGAAGGCGCCCGTTCTCTCCTGTCCCCTCACATCCACATGACAACAGAATGATGCTCGTGGTGCTGATGAGCTCAGCATCCATGAGGCCACCTCCCAGGTGCTGATTCCCAGCAGCTGTGACGGCCTCTCTGTGCAGCACCTCTTGCCCTGGGATTGGGCTTAACAGAGGGTCAGTCTCCCCTCATCCCTGCCTGTGGAGTCGCCACGGGTCACACGGGCAGGCTGCAGGCTCGGCAACAAAGAGTAGCAGAGTCAGAGTGAAAATAAAGGGAAGAGGGGAGAAATTATAGGAGGAGGGAGACCAGAGTCCCCTGTTTTCCCGATCCAGTTGTGTCAGGACAGTGAGGGGTGCAGGCTGCTCTCAAAGGACACCTGACAGTGGGGTCATCACACTGTGGGGTGGCCGGTGCTGCTCACGGTCATCCCCCTTCTCCCTCCCTCCAAGAACGTGGGCCTTGACAATTGCAGGAGCCCATGGTTACGATTGCAGGAATGCCATCGTTTCTCTTTGTCTTTCCTGTCCTGTGGTCAGAGGGACCATCAAGGTGGGCGGGCTAGGGGTGGTCCAGAGCTCACCTCTGAAGCAAGGTCTTTCTTAGCATGCTTCCGTGAAGACGTGGTCTTGGCTATTAGCAAATGCCTTGTGATGGCATTGCACTGAAAGCTCAGTCCATCATGGAATGCCTGGCGCCCATCTTTGGGGGACTCCTCTGTGAGCCATGCGTATGGCAGGGAAGGGCTAGCTGAGGGCCATGCACCTGGATCCCCATCTACCGATGACACCTTCAGAATGTGTATGTGCTCTGTCGGACACGCTTGGAGAAAGGAGAAGGCAGTGGGCAGAGGGGAGTCTTTTCTTGCATATTCCCCCGAGCTTGAGTGCATTTCTGCATGGCTCCACCAAGCTCCTGGGTACCGGCTCTCCTGGGAACACTTTCCTTCCCATCGCCTGGCGCTCTTATACTTCCAGACCAGATGGCCCAGGGAGATGGAGCAAGATGCCGGCCCGATGGCCGGGTCCATGGAACAATAGTCGTAAACAGTAATACTCAGATATTACCGACTTGCATTGACTTGGCAGACCTGTCAAGTAACGGTCGTGTTCACTGCCTTGGAGCCCCGGAGGCTTCTGCGTGAGATCATTGGGAGGAAGAACTAATTTTACAGATGAAAAATCTGACACCTGGGAAGGACAGGCTCTTTCCTCAGGTCCATCCATTGTGTGTGTGTGTGTGTGTGTGTGTGTGTGTGTGTGTGTGTGTGTGGTGGGTAGGGGAGAAGGGCTGCGGCCAAAATGATGATTTTTGCGGTAACCATAATTGAGAGTGAAAAGCTGGGGCTCTGGGAGAGAGAGAAGCAAGTCTCAGTTCTGAGCAGTCATAGGGATGACCTCACCCGGGGGACCAGAGCCATCCAGAGGACTCGCCGACAGAACTTCCCCCTCAGGGTCCAAATGTGAGTCACCATGGCTCACGTCCCCGCAGCGGGCTCTGTCCCCAGGCCTCCCACTTCACCCTGGGACATCATGGTCACTGGTCAGGCCTGGTGACTCACTCAGTCCCTTGAGCCAGCCGCCGGGGGTGGGGTCTCCCTCTCCTGGCATCTGTACCCTTGGTGCTATCGACGCAGATGCTATGTGAAGGACGTGCGCAGCGGGGAAAGCACCGCACACCCTGCCGGGGTCAGGCCAAAGCCACGGCAAGTGGATTTCAAAATGCAGTTGGGAAAGTCCGGGGCGCTCCGTGGAGCTAAGGCAGCCGCTGTCCGCGCTCTCCGAGCCCCAGGCGTGAGATATACTGGGATCCCTGAGAGATGCGGAAATAAAATTATGCTGGGATCCCTGAGAGATGGGGGAATAAACAAAGCTTGCCAGAGGGGAGCTCCACGTTGTCCTCTCCCCATGTAGACGAGCAGGTTCACCCAAAAGGCCAGCGGCTGGCACGGTGTCAGATTTCCTGCCACACCCAGTGCTCAGCCTCTGCTGTCATTTCTCCTCCTCGGTTTTCATCTTCTAAGGATAGAAATAGTGTCATCTTTTCTCAACCTGTCAGTCTCACACCTGCCGGCAGCCCCTGGCTGGGAGACACCCAGTGCTGTCTAATTTGATGTCATCTCTGTTTACTGTCTGTTTTAGAAACCAGGTAGCGAGAGGGACTTTCTGAGGATGAAAAAAAAAAAAAAAGAAAAGAGAAGAAAGTAAATCCCCAAACTATTTCAGTGAGTTTTTTTTAACTCTTGTTTTTTTATTTTCATATTTTATTTTTCTCTCCCTAACTTTCTCTTTTTAATGAAAAAAAAGTTATTTTGTAGTAGATACCATACACGAATGGGGAGGAAGGATT